GTACAATTTCTAAATACTTAATCTGAAAGTAACCCCAAACAGTCATTTAATTATTAAATCCCGTGTAAGTGCAAAAAGGTCAAGAATATGAGTATCGGTAAATAGCCTATCTTTCATTAGTTAGAGGGGAAAGGTATATATTTTAATCATTTTTTGTAATCATTTGGCTATGTTCTTCATCATATTGAAGATTGAAAACATTGTGACAAAGACGTCTAAAAAATATTTACAAATATAGGGTGAATAATTGGCTAAAAATAATAGAGTTCATTTGACTATTTTTTTTAATGGTGGACTTATCTTTTATGTTAATTGAAAAAAAAAGAAATTATTCTTGATTAAATATTGTTTAATATTATTCAGTTTAAAATGTTTATAAACGACGATGTTTGAAGAAGTATTTTTGTGATTTTACATATTCCCTTTATGACAAGTACCCCTAAAAATATTTGAAAATGTGAAGTCGAAGTATGTAAATACCATACCAAGTTTCACAGCCTGTTCTAGATTAAAAAACAAGGAAACATATGATGATATCTTAACTGATTGATAAGCAAGTACTAATTTATCATTTTGAAAAGTTTGAAAATCTTGTGACAAAGACTTTTCCGACATAGGTTCTTCCTTAATTCTTGTTTTTCTCCACCCTTTTACTCAGTTCTGAGTATATTTTTCAGAGAATTTAATATGAAAATCAGAACAAACATTTTCATTGTTGTAACGTCTTCTTTATAATGTATATAAATATGAAAAGTTAATTGAAGACCATTTCTTTTTATGTCCCCGTAATCGAAGATTCGGGGGTATATAGTTTTATCGTGTTCGTCTGTATGTCTGTCTGTCTATCTGGCGGTTTGTTTGTCCGCAAAAGCCTTAACCTTTACCATAACTTTTCATTTATTGGAGCTATGACTTTCATATTTAATATGTATATTCCTTGTGACAAGACCTTACTTTTGGTACCACCAAATTTGACCTTTTGACCTTTACCTTGGAGTTTATCCCTTTTTACACAAAAATGCCAAATTTTTACATTGGCCATAACTTTTAAACGGTGGATACTAGTACTCTCATACTTCAAATATGTAGTTTTTTGGCATTACCTTTCGTTGGATACTAAAAACCTTTAACTTTTGACCTTGGAGTTTTCCGTACTTATGATTTTTTGGGAGTTGATTATATCAACGACTCTATGTCAGTGGTCCAGACAGGAAGTGCAACTGACAAACAGCTGCCAAGGAAAATGAGCATTGCGAATAAGAAAATAGTTCCCCATTATACTTACTATAAAGAAATCATAATTCTTGACAATATAATCCACAATCACTTTGTATTCAACTTAAGTCTGTCATTTTAATTTCCTCTTAGGCATCTGTCACCTAAATAATCATACCGATTCTGATATGTATTCATACATTGTGCATGTTTTCTAATTTTAAGACAGGAAATTCCCTACTAACAAAGCGTCTGCAATGTGATGAGAAAACATGATGGTATTCTGGTGGTTAAAAACAGAAAACATTTGATACAGTATATTTAGACAATAAAAACAATGGGCTTAGTAATCAGATGTGCTATAAAATTTAAAGTCAGTTTGGAAAACAGAGAACAAAACTTCATGTCTAGGCTACCTGTTTTGTTTACGATACATGTGTATGTGTGCACCTGACTCAGGCTGATTGATAACTCAGCGGGCATTGTGTGCTTGCGAATCTCTAATATGTGTAGAGCTTAATTTAGATAAGATCTCCCCACTGCTGCAGAAGTGACCTACTGCATGGATTAATATTACTTCTCGCCTTTTACTTTTGTGTCCGGAATGATAGTATACACAGGATGATTTATGAAGCTTGTTAATTTCTTTTGTTTTTGGAAATTTGTATAGTTATATATAAAGTATAATGATAGTCAATTTGCGTGATGACTGTTTGACCAGGGTATATAGGTCCCTGGTTTGACTAAGCAAGATGTTCATTTTAAAAATGAATTATACCAGGCAAAAAGACATAATTAATATGTCATAATCGAACAATTTCTATTAAGTATGAAATACATACACCAATCTGTTACATCACAAACTACATGAACTATACTTATATTCAGATTTTTGAACATCATTGAACTTATTTTATTGTATGTACATGAAATTTTGGGGTTTTAGCCATTTACAAAAAATATATATTCGTATATATGATAAAAAACTATAAAAAGCAACCTAGCTATTAAACTTTATTTTCAGAATTTACTCCTGCTCAATTTGTGAAAAAAAGTCAATTGGTTTTTTTTTAAATCTCAATACCTGGTGTGTATAAATTTGTTACTAATTTTGCTGTAGGAAATGTAATTTCTGAATCTGATAGATTAACCCTACACTTAGACATAATACTAGCGATGATAAATTGTTGATATGGGCTTGAATAGTCTTTTCCTATTTTACAAGATGAATACTGTGAACCAAAACCTATATTTGTGAAATACCTTCAAAGTAAAGTTCCGTTAATTTTCTCATCACCAATTTAGATTGTATGTGTTATTTTACTACAATTAAATTTCATTATATCGAAAAACGCTGTCCTCCTTATTCATGAATTGATTGTGATGTCGTAATCGTTTGATGATATTTTTATCAAGTTATGTCAATATTTATCCATATTAGTATTTCCCCATACCTAAATTAAGATAATTGCATTTTCCCCACTGAGTGCGTTATTCATTTTCTCTCAAATTTGTCTTGAGTGTCATTTTCATCCTAAAACAACTTTTTTATCTTAGATACTGAAAGTACAAGTTCCATACCTTCATCTAAGATAAGGACGAAGTCTGTGAGGAAAACAATCAATCTAACAAGATTTCGCATATCGTTCAAGCTATTTTCAAATTACTGTTAACAGACTGTAGATCACTTAATTTTCGAGACATCTTATTTTCGCGAGATAGTCATTACATGTAACTATTTATTAGCATGACAATATATTTCTTTATGAATTGTGGTTATATCTTTAAAACTGTCAAAAGCACTTGCATATGTACGAGAGAGAAATTACGCTGTCTTGCTTAGTTACGCGGAAATAAATTTCTAATAAAAAGTGATTTACAGTAGAACAAACCATACCGCTTTGACTCTGTAAGATCACGAAATCCACTTATGCATTTGCTTCTTGAACACATGCCTCAATCAAGAAGCATTAATATAAGTATAATTTGGAAAGTGGGCATGGTCACACACATCGAATTCAGGTTCGAATCTCATGCACCGAAAGACTTGGAGACCGGTCCTTTAGATGAGACCGTGTAAACGAAGGTCCCTGGTCGCAGTAGGTGCTGGCTCGAAAAAAGACCTCTCTCTCTGGTCATTGGGTGCCGAGTATAAGTAAAAAAATTGCAGTTCTCCACCGGCAAGTGATGGCATCTTCATATGAGTCAAATATTCTCGAGAGGGACGTTAAACAATATAAATCAATCAATCATACATCAAATTGATTTAATAATCAACTCCCATCAGTACTTTCAGTACTTTGATTTTTACCTTGGCCATAACTTTTGAACGGTAAGGGCTAGGGTATTCATACTTCACATATGTTATCCTCGTTACATTGAACATTTTCTTAAGAAATCATCAAGTTTGACCTTTTAGTTTGACCTACCTTTCAAAAACTTATCCTTAGCCATTACTTTTGAACAAGTGGTGCTAGGGCTTTCCTATTTTGCAGTTGTATTTCTTGTGAGAAGACCCTACTTTGGGTAAAAATATATTTAAATTGCATTTAAGAAAAGTTTAATCTTCGCTGTGTTGCCATACAGGGGCATAGCTGTTTCACAAACACATTTTTTTATATATGAGGATTTGCGGATAAGAGATGGATACCTTAAAGCGTAACAGACGGACGGACGGACGGACGGACATCCCAATCACTATATACTGGTGCCCTCCCGCTTTTCAAGCGGAGGATATAATAATATATAATACTGCTGATTTTTTCAGTCAGTTCGATGATTTTCCACCATCAAAAAACAATGTTTACCTAACCCTTAAGGCTTGATAAATCTTTTACTCCTTTAGATCACAGGTGCTTGAGGACGGACCCCCCCCCCCCCTTAATATAGACCCCCGGGCCTGTTAGACTTTTTTCACATAAATTTTATATGGATGACACATTTGTGATATAATCTATCCTATCAATTCAGAAAATTTGCTTAAACTTACATTTTATAAAAATATCTACCCCCTCGATATATAAATTATTATATTATCAGAGACGTATAAATTCCATTATACGTCTCTGATATTATATAGAGAATGTAGGATATATTTAATAGAACGTTTGTTTTAGGTAATTTTTCGATTTGCTGGTATAGATCCTATCACAAATATGGCAATGAAAGATTTTTTATGAGAAAAGAATAGAAAAAGCCCAGGGGTCTATTCGAAGGGGGGGGGGGGTCCTGTCCTCAAGCACCTGTGCTTTAGATTCTGAATCATTGCATTTCACCTTAAAATATAGCTATAATTTATAATGTTATGGGATATTATACATCACTTTCTTCCCAATAAGCTCAGGTGAGCATTTTGGCCAATAAGCTTCTTTATCCAATTTTTTTTTTTGCCCCCTAAAACTTTTAGCTTTAATCTACAGGGGGTCATTTTTCTACGGGGGTCATTTTTCTTCACGTGGGTTCTGCAAATTTTTCAGGGAAGTGACACTTTTTCTACGGGCAAAAAGTCATTTTTCTACGTCGAATAATGACCGGGGGTCATTTTTCGCTGTCGAAAAATGACCGTGCATTATTCGATGGGGGTCATTATTCGTCTTTACACCGGCCCTATGAATGGTTTTTGTCATATCTTTGTAGTAAATGGCCAATGGTCGTCATTTGTTCCATATGGTGACTGGAGTCAGTGTTCTTCATCTTGTAACAATGGAACCAAAACACGTGTAAGAATCCGAACTTGTTCTATACCAGCCCCATTTGATGGTGGTAAACAGTGTGTTGGTCAGAGCACGTCTACAGAAACAACGACATGTAACATTCAGCCATGCAGCGGTAAAAAAAAAATTACGAATACATTTTCTTTTTCCGATAGCTGATGTACATTTTCCATACCAAAATAAAATTTAATTAAAAAAGAACTTTTTTTCGTAAGGAATAAAAAAAAAGATTATTTCATAGTCCTTACAAATTGTGTTACACGTAAATACTAGATTGATATGTGTAATTATATTTTTTAATAATAGGATTTCGGATTTTGAATCAAATGTAAACACAATCCACAAATGTTTTAAATAGACAGGAAAAGCAATTCGAGGGTTATGATCAACAGGTCTATAGAATGCGTATATACACTGTAGTATATAAATTACGCCAAAACAATAGATCTATTATTATTTAACTGACAGTATACATGCATACATGTACATCAAGTTGAAGCATCTTAAAGACGGCGAGGCATAGCCGGACTAATGTAGAAACATCATCGTTCGTGGGGGACCAATGTTCGTAGATTTCGTGGGTCACCCCTACCCACGAACTTACATCCCAACGAAAGTATAAATTGTAAATCTGTTTATTCATTAAACTATTGTATTTACAAGCATCCAACAAAATTTAAACCCCGCGAACATTGACCACCGTAAATAATTCAAGGGTTTATCTGTTATAGATCAGTTTGCTGTTAAAATATCTCTTTGACACTAGGAAAGAAAATTTAGATTAGTTATTTATTTTCTGGAGAAAAAAAGAGACATAAACGCAAATCTGACTCGTAACAACGATCATCAAGGTTGGGGGATTAGAAAGTTACTATAGCAAACTAGAAAAAAAATCTTGTTAAAAAAGAAAAGGTCTCTCGCTCTTGTATTTCTATATGATTGTGCAATAACATGAAAGATTTTCAAATCAAAATACAGGAAAATGAGTGCTAGTATGAAAGTGTATGAGAATGTGTGTATGAGAGAGAGAGAGAGAAGGTATGTGTGTGTTTAAGGAGGACTGCCACACCAAATTTTTATTTTATAGATCTGTGAGTCAACCTTTTTAAACAATGGTTTCAGCATTGAAAGGCCGACATTAGCTCTCAATTACTTTTTATGATTTTTTTTTGTATTTTTTCAAAGAGAATGAAAAAAATTATTTCCATCAAAATAAGACGTTTTCTTGTAAAAATTTCGCTGTAAATGAATGCATCACATTAATATCTAATAAAATATGTGTAGAAAAGCTGTATAGATATTATTTTTTTTAAATAAAAAAATATTTATGAAAATAAAACACATAATTTGTGAACATTTTCTAAATTTGTGGTTAAAATTTTCTTAAAACCAGTCACAACTGGGGAAAACATGTTCATTAATCATATTTATAAAAGAAATTGAAACGAAATTGCCAAATTTTACAGAAATTATTTTTTTTTATTTTGGCCAATCCCGATCAAAATTAAACCGATCCCAATCATAATTGTATATTTATTGGAAATAAATATATTTCCCTAAGAACACTAGTCTGATTAAGTGTAATAAGGATTAAAACATTAATGAACCTGACAATAAAATAGATTTTCTCATTGTAAATACATGAAAAGGCAGTAAATTAGCATTTATTTTAATTGTGTATTAATTTTGATCGGGATCAGTTTAATTTTGATCGGGTTAGGTCCAAATATTAAAAAAATTAATTTCGCTAAAATTTTTCAATTTCATTTCAATTTCTTTTAAAAATATGATTGACATACATGTTGTACTCAGTTGTGACTAGTTTGATGGTGATTTTAACCATATGTTTAAAAATATTCACAAATAATGAGTTTTATTTTCATAAATATTTTTTTATTAAAAAAAAATTAAAAAGTCTAACCAGCCTTTCTTTACATATTTTTTTTTAAAAATATAAATATGATATAATCATTTATAGCAAACTTTTAACTCGAAAACATCTTAGTTGGATGTAATTATTTTTTTCATTTTCTTTGAAAAAATACAAAAAAAAAAAATTCATATAAAATAATTGAGAGCTAATATCGAACTTTCAATGCCCAAACCCTTGTTTTAAAAGGATGACTCAAAGATCTATAAAATAAAAAGTTGGTATGGCATTCCACCTTAAGAGAAAGTAGTGGTGTTTGTGTGGTGAGTGCATTTGTACCAAACGGAAAAAAGGTGCTAGAAAGTCTCTTACTTTGACGTGTTTTAGATATGTAATAAGAAAAAGAAATATAGCAGTCATTTAATCACACATCCTTCTGTAAAGTAAGAAGAAGTAAGTTAAAGCTAATGCAAGATTTACAAAAGTGGACAATTTTGTATTTACCTCGAGCTCCAAGTTGTGAATTCAAAATTAAGAACATGATACTCCTTTTGCAATAAAAAATATAGAAGCGCGACATTTCAATCCGAGGGAAAATTGATGATACGGTTATCTTTCAATGAACTCCACCTCTTTTTCTTCTCTGTATACCTCTTTAAAAATGGAAACTTTCATCTTTTATTTTCTCTCTATATAGTGTATACTCGGAAATAATCGAAAGTCTACTGCATTTACTATTCTGCATACAGAACTTACAGATGATTTTTTGTAAAAGTACTTTTATTTTCATTTTAGAACAAATATTTTTTTCACGGACTTCGACCATTATAATTGCTGTGGTGTCAACAATTCTGGTATTTCTGGTTCCTACACTTATTTTCTTTTATTGTCGAAGCAAGAAAACAAGTAAATCAGCACCAACAACCCAAACTCAATCAGAGATATACGAGGAAATCCACAATATGGACATAATGAGCAATCATTATGTCCCCTCATACGCAGAATACATACTTCATCCTATGCTCATAAACAGAAATCACCCAAACGCTACTGTTCATCCTCTCTTTATTAATGTTGAAAGAACGGGACCTAACATCAGCAATCGTAGAAATGAATATCGCGTTAGTGAGATAACTGAGCAGGGTGATGGGGATGTGACAAATAGAGAGTCATTACTTAGTCTTAAAAACAGCTATGGATCAGATGACGAAAATGAATCGAAGTTGGCAATTTGCTCAGATGTCAACGCTGATATCACCAGTGTTGACACGGAATTAAGAAATTTTACTATAGATGGGTTTCCAGTTGATAAATATCAAAAACCCATGTTTAAAAGAAGAAATAGCTACATAACAGTATTGCCAGATGAGTCTAAGAAAGTGGACGAAACAGTCATTGAAGAACACCACGATTATCTTGAATGTTACTATGACAAGGATGAATCGGTTAAATGCAAAGACATTGATTCTAAATTGCCCTCTCAATTTGATGAATGTTTGAACAACATTGGGGATGTGGCATAAAGGACAATAAATAATTCGAGGGGAAAAAGACGGTTATCGTGATAAACATAAAGTTGACTGAACATGTACTATGTATTTAAAATACTGTTGATCAAAATTCGTTACCTCGATATATTGTCCTATTCACGGGGAAAGACAAAAGCCTACAGCTATAAGGCTAAAACTATTGTAAAATCACTTATTTTCGTGGGCAAAAACGCATGGTTCGTGGGGATTTGAATTCGTGGATGAAGAATTCTTGAGTACCGTTTGTTATTTATGTAACATACATTTTACATTTCGCGATGGAAATGAATTTGTGGGTCTTTTCATACCTCAAAAACAACGATAATTACCCCCTCCCCCAAATGGAATTTTGTGATTTCACAGTATACGAGATCCTTAAAAACTGAACGGGCTGTAATATATGTTATCATTAGATTTGTTTTTTATCCCAAATTTCATGAAATATTTTCTTTGATATTTGTTATTAGCTACAGTATGTATTTGTTATGGTATAATACGTTCATCATACTCTGTCCTTTAGCGACTTATTTGTTCAGTTTTTATGATTTTTTTTCTAATACATTTTTAATGCATGTTTACATATTGCATGATTTCAAAGACTTCATATAACTACTAATTGACATTTTTTTAACAGAGGGAACATTTAGTTTCCATTTTGCACTTATGTACACTGTGTTCTGTTGAGATTGCAGATTAAATATATGGCTTTAGCTATATTTCTTATTCTGTCAAGTGTGATTCGAGATTTTTTGATTTAAATTGCAGTACGTAAAGCAATAAGTAAAACAATAATTTACATTTTGATACTGCCACATAGAGTAATGTCAAGAATACAATTCGTACCATCCGTGGAATTTGCAATCAAACAATATTTATATAGTTTATATTTTAGTCTAGTAAGACTGTAAATGATTGAAATGTTTCGTGTTACCTTTTTTTAAATATTTATTAACATTTCATTTCATAAATTTCATTTCATTTTATAAATGAACATCTTTAGATATTTTAAGCATTTATGTGAATACTTTCTGCTTTTTTGTAAGGTATAGATCGAGTGAGAGGGTGTTTTGGCATCACATTTTATATGTTGATTGAGTTTCCAAGTATATCGTTCCAATGGGGCTGTAGCTATTGTATAAGAAATCCTTATTCAGTAAATAAATGTAAGCTGAAAATGGGATTTTTTTTCTGTAATGAGAAGGCAGTTATTGAGTAAAGCAGGTTCAATAAAAAAAAGTTCACTATAGTTCTTAGTTGAATAAAAAGAATTATTAGAAATTGATTAATGAAATTGATTGTTTAGAAAATACAAAGTTACAGAGTTTAAGGCAGTGACGCCTAGTCCCAAACACGTCACTCGAGGCTAAGCAATGCCATTAAGTTAAAGTGTCTAAGTGATACTTTTGGAAGAAACCTCTACATGTGTTTACCTAAGGATGAAAGAGCTTCTCGTGTTGAATTTTATTTTCAAGCAAGAATCGGCAAAAACAGAGAAATTGAGTGAGCCTGTCCCACATAATTAAATTATATTCAACTCTGATTACTATTCTACTTCTTACTGGGCACATAGGCGCTCTAGACTGGCCAACGTTTCTAAGTGGTTGTCCACAAAAAACCTTCAATATTAATGAAGTGTTCAAGTGTAATTAAGGTAGGTCCGTGCTTTCAGAATTTTCTGTCAAACTGTTTATTTTTTGATTTGAATATCTTGAGTAAGTCATTAACTAACTAAAACACCCACAAAATACATATCTTTGCAGGTTAATTTTCATACATGTCTCAGAGTACATACCTCTAAAAATACAACTGCCAAAATTGAACATAAAGAAGTGTGATATCATATTTTATTTAACTATGAACCAAATCTCATCAAATTTATGTTAAAACTTATGAAAATCAAAAATATTCATTTGCCAAGAGAATATTTGAAATCTTTATTGGAAACACTAACAAATTGATGTTGATTCTGTCAAAATCTTTCAGAGAAAAACCTTAAAATATCTTTATTTTTAATATTTCTCAAAATCTTATATGTTTAAATGCTATTTTTTCTTTACCATTATTGATAATTATATCTTAGGTTAGCAAAAACACATACTTTATGATGGTTGACCAGAAAAAATTCTACAAAACAGCCTTTTGAACATCTATACCCCCAATTTTTGAATATCTATTTTTTTCAATCGTTCTTTGCAAAATTAAAAAAAAGAAACTTTAAAAAGATGATATAGGCTTAGAATTAAAAATAAAATAGATCTCAAGTTAGTTTGATTAAAAAAATTTAAAAGCTTTAGGTCCATAAAGGCAATTAAGGATTCTCTGTCTGTGTATATAGATCCTATGGAAAGAGTGCAAAGTGGTTATTCCTAAAAATAATGTACATTAAATGCTTTGTGTGCACAATGACACTATAATAAACAAATATATACTTGCTAAATTATTTTCAATCATCCAATAAATTTTATTTTTATAGACAAACGAAAATAAAAAATTTATTTTGGTGTATGAAATTAAAACCGGATCCGTAAAAGTGTAGACCTGCCTTAATAACTTTTTTTTCATAAAAATATAACATGAATCAGATAACGAAATAATTTTTTTACTCAATATTTCAGACTCAATCAGCTTAGAAATTAATCCAGAAATAGGTAGTAAAATGATTTTCCATACCATTCAATGTGAAAGACATTTCCATCCTTTTTTATCCTTCCTTAAGCCATATCAATGTCCAATGATTTATTTTTTGTCATTTATTATATGTAATACTGTTAGGTAGAATTGTATTCATCAAACAAATAATAAGAGCACAAAAAATACCACTTTGAACTTTTTAATGATACACTGTACAGTATGTGTACTTAAGGTAGATCGCGGGTTTACTGTCTGCCTGAAAACATAGGCTAAAAATATATCGGCTAACTCCTCTCGTGTTGAATTTTTTTTCTGAATTTTTTTTTAGATTCATCTGCGTGGTTAGATTGAAAACGTAATTTAAATGAACTAATATTGATGAGAAGTTGAGTACAGATGACGCTTTTTCAATGAAATATTTAATACTGTTCGTTATCTCCATATCCTTCTTATAGTAAAATGTACCTTTTCTGTTGGTATACGCATTTCAAAACCATAATCATAAAATTAAAACGAAGCAGACGAAAGTTATATTACTCAATACAATGAATGTGAAGTAAATTTAGAATCGATTCATTAGAAAAATAGTATGTGTTCTCGCTCAATTTCTTGCAAAAGGTGTATTTCTTTTTCATCACGACGTTATATTACGTTGGTTTGACGTAAATATTTTCGCATACCTGCATGACTAAAAAAAAATAAATTAATAATCTACAATTCACTCAAAATAAAGCATGCAATCCGTGAATTCAGTTTCCCGATATAATCATTTTCATAGTTAACCAACAACGTGGCACTATTTCATTTTCATGGTTTTTTCTCACAATAAACGTACAAGGCTAGGGGTGCAGAAATTTTATAACAGATGTACATGGGTGTTATGAAAAAAAATCTTATCGGATTTGAGAACAATTTCAAACGTATATAATTTTTGCATCATTTTTATCTATAAACAAAATGTACCCGATTTTAAATTGGAAATATAGCAGTTGAATTAAAGTAGCTTTATGACCTACATTGTAAACATTTATACTTCATAAAATGAATTGATTTTTTCTATATCCCTGAATTAACAAACTTCAATTTTCCATTAAAATGTCGTTAAGGCCATTTCTTATCATTTACTTTGCCGATATATAGAATACTATAGAAAGGATACAGAATACTTTAGAAAACAGATATTGATACTATAGAAAACATTTCTACTACATGTATATGCTCGCCTCAATTAAAACGGCTAAGACACCCCTCCTTTTTTATGCTTGTCAAGGAATATTTGGTTGTTGATAGAACCCCCAACTGAAAATATATACGAGTAGCTGTGCCCCGAACTGAAATTTCTTTCTACAGACCTGCCACTCTTGCCTTGATACCCCTCCCCCCCCCCCCCAAAAAAAAAAATGCAGTTGTAAGCCAATCCCTATTAATTGTCATTAATAAAAGGGTCTGAGTTATAGATTACAATTTATAGGATGTACATATCTATTTAGTGATGTTACCTAAATCATTAACGTCTCTCCTGTTGATAATTATTTAATTCCCCCCACCCCCCACCCCCACCCTCCAAACAAAAAAAAATATCATCAGTAAGAGAAACTCATGTACAGATGATTATAGTTCATTAAACATACTTACGTAGCATATACTGTCCATTTCTTTTTTGTTTTGAAAATCTTTAACCTGCACTTGGCTCAGACAATATTGTTGTGCATAACAATATTACCAATGTAGGCGTACATCATCACGAAGAAAATGGATACCTTGTATAAGTTGAGTTAGAGATGGTTGTAAAACAAAAATAAAAGTAGATTAGTATGGAGACTAAAATAAACAAACAAAACAAAATTCATAAAAGTGAAGAAAAAAAAAATAATAAACTGCAGTGCAGGCGCCAGACACAAAGGCGGTAGACATGTTTTGTATTATTAACAATTAGGCAATGATATTTTAGAAATGTGAGTACACAATGTAAAAGACAACCTTGATCAAAACATCATTTATTCTGAATAACATGTACATACAAAATAATATTTAAATACAACAAACAATCTTAAATATACATTTACCTTTTAGCACTGCTGAAGATATATTTGCTTGCTAATTTGAACGTCTACCTTTTTAGGTCAAATCCTATTGTGACGTCAGCAAACCCTCGATCTACGTATACCTTAAAATAGTGGGTTTCATATTTAAGCCGCTTTTGCGCAGACAAGGTTGCACTAATTCATGAAAACCGCTAATAATTCATTTATAAATAGAATTCATTTCTATAAATAATTCATTTATAAATAGAACATACTTCAGGGACATCTGTAGCGCTTATTCATGTTTACGCCAACAACTCCATATCCATTGAAAGCGCTAAAT